TATCTGCATGTGATGAGAATCATAAGTTTCGTGTAACGTTCATGCAAATGGTACGAATTTTGTGAAAATAATATTAATGGATTTAACGTTTCACAGTTCGAATTTCATTTTCACAATTCTGTAGAATGTAACTGCAATTATTATAATCGAAATATTATAGTTTTTGTTTGAACTAAGAATTAAAAATGAATTGACCAAGAATTCTCTACAGAAATTTATCGAAATGAGAAAGTTACTCTCGACGATAATTTCTAAATCATCAGCAGCAAGTAAAGAGCCAAGCCGTGAATTTTTATACTTTTTCAAGTTCGTACAATAGTATAAAATGAAAAATTTCAAAACGAAAGCCTCCTCGTTCATACTACTTTTATACGAGATTATAATAAGACGAAATCGACCACTTGTATGCACGTCTAACCTGATAAATTCGCCACCATGGAAGAATAACAATTTGAATAAAATCGCGCTAAACCATAAGAACGAAGTTTCTCATCTAGCAACGAAATTGAACTGGGAATGAAATTTTTGTCGTTCAAAGGGTAACTCCGGGAGAACGCGGACATCTTTCCCTCCTCTTGTCGCTCGAGGCATCTTAAACGCGCAAAGGAAGTTTCTTCATAAAACGGCAACGCCCTTCTTAATTCCTTGTTTCCTTCGCGCGCGCGCACTTTCTTTACCAGTAATCGCGAAAATGCCTCGGGTCACGAAGGGGCGGTATGGAACCGTAGGAAATCGTCCCGCGAAACCGGATATCAGTATAAAATCGAGGATTTATTACATCTACGCGCATTCTTTCGCTCCCTCGCGCGCACGAATTTATTTCTTAGGAAGAACACGTGAGAAAACGTCAAAAGAATTTTGAGAGAATTGAGCGTGAATCGAGGGAAATCAACTGCACGATATTACGAAATGAATGTAAAAACGTGGTAATAACGAATATTCGCAGAGTTAGATATTCTTTCAGTAAATAAATATTCAGTAAATAACATTCGATGAAAGAAGCATTCAATAAAATGCTCGACGAAAGGGAAATCTAATATTGGAAGTAATATAAAATAAAGTAAACTTTCGACTACGTATTCACGGTATTATAATTTCAGTAGTTCCTAGAAGTTAGTCAACTCCCAGGAAGCTAACCCGGGAAATAAATTCTCGTTTAAATTCCGCATAAATATTAACCCGTTCTCTTAGGAAAATTCAATGCTTTCAATTTTAACTGCTCGATGTATTTTAATCAATGTACCAATTGGAATCTTGACGGGAATTTTTATATTTTTAGAATGTAATTTATTTTCGATTATGATTGTCAAATTTAGGATATTTTACGCTTTAATTAGTTAATAATTAAAAGAAAAAAATTAAACAATTAAAAGTCCTAAATCGTTGCGTCTCCAGAGAGTAAATAACCGGAGCTAGAGTTAAGTGAAGATGAATATTCGAAACGCCGAAGCGTTTTGCTTTATCTGCTGGTAGTAATTCGAAGGCTTATCAATAGCATTGTGACCGTGTCAGTGACATTAATCGGAGGTCTCTGTTCGTTTGGCAAAGCCGTTCTTCCTTAGTTAATGCAGCGCTACATCTGCAATCTCGCGCTGGTGCACCGATGGCGCATTATAGCGATTTACAGCAGCCGCACCGGCCCCTCATAGTAGCCCCTCATAGTTGCACGTGCATATGCGGCACGCTATCACGCTGCTCTGTCAATTATTGTCAACTATCCGCTTGGATACCTCGTTGACAGCTCGACCGATCGGCCAGTCACATCGAACGCTTTTAAGCCAAACAATTTCACGATTGTTTAATTATTACACGCTCGTGATGATCGACGCGTCTGAAATTCCGATTAGCCTTGATTCGAGATACGATCAGCGAATATCTCGCTTGTCTCTGGAGGTATAACACGCGAAAACATTTGAACGTTTATCTTACAATCTTACAGATGAACGATTTGAAATGAATCAAAGACATATCATGAGTCTTTATACGTTGTATCGTTATAAATTTATTTTGGAAATTCTGTATACATTCGCAGTTTCCAAATACGTAGAAATTTCCAATTTGAAATTTGAAATCAATCTGAGAGACATTCGTTGCTAAACACAAACTTGTTGGAAAAATTTTCTTGAACGTAGAGCAAGTATTAAATATGGTTCCTGAGAAAATGGATTTCGTTAATCCTTACTCTTCAATAATAATACAAAAGAAAGTCAAGACCTATTTGAAATGTACAGATCACACTTGAAACAGTATAAAATATCCAAATGATTCTAAAATCAAATCAAATCAAATATCTATAGTTTTTATCTAATATTCGCAGTCTACCGTGTATCCTAAAAATATCCATCGACCAAAGTTCATAATTAAATCAAGATCGAGACAGATTATTCTGTTATACACACGTTTGTCTTTCAATCGGTGGGTTCAATGCACGCGTATTATTACACTTACGTACAACAACTGCATAATGTCGATAGTTTGGTGGCTAGTCTCCGGTGACTTCTCAATTCTAAACTGATCGATCCTTGACAATCAGAGTTCCGCGCTATCCTTCACGGTGGTTGACTAGCATAGCAGCCCGTATTCGAGGCTTGAATGGAATCGAGACCGCACACGATTAAATTCTCCCTGGCCCGTGTTACCCAATCTTCTAAGGGGAAATCGCTTCGTCCCTGTCTCTGTTTCTTCGTCTGTCCGTGCTAGGAAATGTTCCTTCTGTTGACGCAGACAACGCGAACCTACAGACAACGCGCACACTACTACCGGGGATCGTGCGTGTAACACAATGATTCGCTTCTAATTGGAATTTGGAACGATGCAAATTTGTTAAACAAACACTTGTTAAGCGTCCAACACGGACACGTGAATCTTTGATTAAAGTATTTGCAATAAACATCTTCTAGCTTCTGTATATACATATATTCGTCTTCAGACGAGTTTTTATCTTCTGGTTTAGTCATTGTTGCATTTAGTCATATTTAGTGATTGTGTTGTAAAATTTGGAAGCGAATGAATAAATAATAAATATATGTATATATATATATATATATATATATATATATATATATATATATATTTCAGATTGGTTTATATAATGAATGGATTGTCTGTATCTTTCGTATATCAAAATGATAGATAAATAATTCGAATGTCCAAAAATACATGGAATATCCATACTTAATACTCGTTTTAATATTCAGTAGGTGAAACAATTTTATTCTTCGCGTAGATTCCAATTCTTGAATCGTGACGAAATTTCAAAATGTTTTATGCAAGAAACCAGTGAATAATGGAAAACAAAACGATGGATTTCATCTTGAAAATTCATCGATTAACCGAGAATTTTATGTTTATTTCATGTTCTTTATACTTTGGGTATTTCATTATTTCATAATTAGCGTTAATGAAAAGAAGCAATTGTTTTAATTATAGCGAATATCGGTATTTTTGTATTCGGACTTATTCATTATTCCTTAATTCCTACATTAATGAACCTTATATTTATTTTAAACCACTTGGCTGTAAGTTTGTGTTGTTTCTCTTACCTAAAAAGTAACAATAATTAACGACAACCAATATTCGCAGACGATATTTAATTCTATTCAAAAATTCTTTTTGCCTCTTCTTCTGAAGGAACAGACCCTTCCAAAATTGTGTCGCTTTTGTCGTGTACCGGTACGTGTACGCTGCGAACGTAATGCATCATGTCGAGCCGTATGCACGGACATATGCACGACCGTTACATTTTCGAAGATGCACGCAATCGGATCGGCCATCGGTCCGAACGTATTGTAGAATCGTAAATGCGACGGAACGTGCGGTATCCTCCAGCCTTGTCGAAGGACCTTGAATTATGGGTTAGGCGCGCGCTGCAGCTGCTGTGCATATTTGATGTATTTTCAATCGGACTACCCTTTGCCAAGAGCAAGTCCATCGTCATTTTACACGGAGACACGCCGATGAGCCCGGGATACGTGTACATAAGCCCGCATATATACACCTATGTGACATATCTTCGCCCGAGATCAAAGAGCAAGCTCCACGAAATTCGAAATTCGTGGGATTAATGCACTGATTAGACCGACGTGTGATCATAAGGTCTTAGGAGATAGATCAAACGTGTGTTTGAAATCACGAGACGAACGACAGTAGTCACTCTCGTGGGCAAAATTTTGGTCTATGAAGGGAACCAAGGCAATCATTTATCGTACACCGTGGCAATGTAAAAATATCGAAACAATTCTTCGCCCGGGAATTTTCTTTCGTACAATAGTTTCTCAAGAGACCGATTGATTCAGAATTTTGAAATTCGCGTACTGATCGGACTGATGGTTGTTTGTACAAAGATCGATAATGAGGCAAACCTGTCGGAATAACCAGAAAGTATTTAAATTTTGATATTTGTTTGCTCCAAAGAATTCGACGTTCGAATATTTTTTAGAAAGACGAAGGGATAATTTAAGATTCGTAAATAATTTGTAATTCTAAGACGATCCAGTTTCATTCTGTTTCATTTATAAAGCGCATTAATTGCAAACGGAATAGAGAAAATTTTAAGATCAGCATGTAGTTGTTGTATTATATTTGAAAGCACTGTCGCGAGTGATAAAATGGTTTTGTAACTCGACGCTCAGAAAGAATCAATATCAGGATGAACGTCAAAGAACCTCGAATGACGCCTGTTCCTGTTATGAAAATCCAGTTGACAAAGTCAATTATTTCCGTTACTTTACAAAAGAATACTCCAACAAACTTTTAAATAGAATCCACTTCACATCCATCACGTAGAGTTCTAAATTTCTACGTAGAGTGACAATAAAGAAAAGATATGGACCGTTCGAGTCAAATACTTTCTAAATGTACAACAGTGGAAACGTGTCGATCGCTTATTTTGCTTTTCAGTGCTTGCGGTGAGAGTGGAGCAAATATTTTCTCAGTTTTTTTTTCTTTTTTTTTTTTTAAGGACTTAGGACGAACGTGACGAGAATACGCAAGGTACTTACACATGTGATAGAGGACCAAGTTTTTCGTAGTTCCGTTGTACTTCTGGAAGGCTCGATTCGTCGGTGCGAAAACCGTCACATGACGATACGTGAGCGTGGTGTTTGCTACCTGACTTGCTTCCAATAACTGATAGAACTGCAACAGAGAAAAGAATATATAGATTATTACTCGAATGTTTCAAACTCTTACTTTAAATCGCGAATTGTTATATTTATTTATTATTTTTATTTATTTATTATTTATTATTTTACGTTTCTTTTGTTGCCATTTATATTTACGAACTACAACATATTATATTTTTAATAAATTATAGAAATGCAGCAAAAATATGTATATATATATATATATAGACTATTGAGAATTTTATTCTATTGTCATGGGTACCCCTAATACAACAAAATTCACCATGTACGTGCGATATTTAAAAAGGGAAAAAGAAATATTATAAAATATATATGAATATAAATATTTATAATTTATAAATATAAATGTGAATATTTACAAATATAAATATAAATATGAATACAAATATTTATAAATATAAATACAAATATTTATAAATATAAATGTAAATATTTACAAATATAAATATTTACAAATATAAATATAAATATGAATACAAATATTTATAAATATAAATATAAATATAAATGTAAATATTTACAAATATAAATAATTATAAATATAAATATAAATATTTATAAATATAAATGTAAATATTTACAAATATAAATATAAATATAAATATTATAAAAATATATTTAAAAAGGGAAAGGGAAATATTAAAAACGAAAAATAACACCACTTTCATTTCTCAATTACGTACTCATTGTCAGTTACACACAGTCGTGTAAAAACTGTCATGTTCGTAACGAGGAAACGAAAGGAATGTCCATCGATTTTCTGTCAGGGCGAGAACGCGGACGTCGTACGTGGGCATGGTGTCATAACGTAAGTGAAGCCACGCCGGATTAAACGTATGATTGTGCATAGCGAATTAGCGATTCGCGTTCCATAGGCCGGAGAGCGAGAGCGGTTAATCCGGCGCGTCGAATGAAATTTGCCGGGGTCTTTCGTCTCCGCCGAAAATTTGCACAAAGGAAGCTCGTTAGTTATCAATGCGCAATTAACCCTGCGCGTGAGTCAAAGAGCAGAAAATATTACACCCGGTGGGGGATCTGTGAGTCACGTTCTCTTCCTCAAGCGCTCCACGGGAAGGAGAAAAAAAAAAAAAAGCACAGCGGATAAAGATCCGCGAATCCTGCTTTGGTGTTCCTTTTCTGAAAATGATAACATAATTGATGAGATTGTCTTTCGCGTTGCTTCTTTCGGAGGTCTTTCCGAAATTTCGAATTTTCGTCGTGTGTCATTGTGCAAGATTACAATATTCACAGGTTAGACATTTTCCAAACTGTGACTTGAACAGCTCGATAACATTTTTAATCCTGTAGGTGTGTCAGTAGTGAACTTTTTCAAGATATTGTTTCACGATCTGAAATTATTGAAAATTGAAATTTATTCAATTACGTAATTATAATTGTTGCTATATGTATTTTCTGAACACGACAATGAGACGAGAAGGGATGATGCTTTGCATTTGATAACACATGACGTACGACAGGAATCCTTTGACGAGTATCTGAAAACTGATTTCCATGAAACGACGGAACACGTATGTAAACCGGGATCGAATATTTCCACGATCATTGAATTCGTAGAAAGGAAGGTCGCAGCAGTATCTCAAAGCAAACTAAGTTGAATAAATCAAAGGCCATTCCGGGAGCAACAATTTGATATGGCGACGCGAAAGCTCTCGTAGTTCTTTTGCCACGATAGAAAATACCTTCGACGCGCAGAAATTCACGTCGGGGATGGCGAATCGAATGAAATTCTTTCGGAAACGATGAAATCGCTCGATGAAGTCGCAGGCATCGCGACACTTAAAATTACAAATACAAATAATTGCCAGTGTCTTCTGACGAAATATTTTACAAATTGATATAGTTTACCTGTTGCATTATCTTTGAATAAATTCTGCTACGATGTCTAAAAACGAGAACGTAAAATACTTGACCCTTTGTCCTCGAAAACTTTTTTTGCATGTTTCATCTACAATTTATTTATGTTGAAGCATCACATCAAATAAAATGATATAGCATTGGAAATAATCATTCAAATGGTAAACATTTTGAAGTTGATTGTATCCTTCTAACATGTGATATCGTTTAAATTTAAAGCAATCATCATCAACGTGCATTGCGAGTTTGCTAGAACAAGTGTACTATATACAAGAGTTAATGATGCATAGTTTTAATCTGTGGAAAAATAATAAAACTTTCGTAAGAAGCAACGAGAAGTCCAGTTTATGCGATTAATTATTCCAATGAGTGTCAATTGATTCAGGAGTGTTTTCAAAAATTTTTTTCTTCTGAAATCCTTTTGTTCCTCTTACGTCTATTATAGCTCTCACTCTAAATATCTGTTCAAATATTACACTATTATACATCGCGTCATATTATACAACACCAAATACGTTTGTTATAATTATCAGCAAATTACAAAAAGAAAGAGTCCGAGCTGCTAGCTAGATTCAAGGACGATGAAGAGACAGTCGAATAGCAAAGGCTTAAGTAACAAATTTACATTTTCTATGCAGGCCATTATTCACTTTCTTTCTGCATAAATTGAAAGAAAAAAAGAAGCGTGTACGAGCACAGGCACGTCAATTATTTTCGTTGAAGCATAATTTAGCGGGCAACATAAAAATCTGAGTCAATCTAACGAGGAGGACCTCTCGGGGGCCATGTAATTATTTTTCCCGTCCAATAAGTAAGGTTCAATTGAATTTGTAGTTAAATCGATTGATGGCCAGCCAAGGCCGGCCCGTCTATTAGCCAGTTTAATTAGCAAGTCCCAGGGGTCCGGAAATAGGGCAGCCGTAACGACGTTTACAGGCGTCATCGTGCACGTTCGTCGCCAAAACGTACAACATTTATTTCAAGCAGTTAACGAACGGCTTGCAACAGAAGAAAGGAGAAAAAAAGAGAAATGCCTGTCTGAAATATCAATTATATAACACGATGAAAAAGGAGAGCCTTGCTATTTTCTTCTTTTATTATTATTATTATTATTATTATTATTATTTTTTTTTTGCTCTGTTCTCTTTCACGTGTAATGAGTGAATTTCAAAATTAACGAACCTCGCGCGCACCATTTGCAACGGTGGCACGCGCAAAATTAGAAATTAAAGACTCGACGCGAGTTGTTATTAGCACAATGACAGCCGGCATTGTGCTTCGTGCAGCGTGACGCGCAATACCGTGAAATAAAATTTCATAATACGCGTTGTTTGTTCGGGACAGCATACGATTCGTAGCGAGACAGCCTGTTAGTTGTATTAATTCGACGAGATGTCTGCACGCGTTGCGAAATCATAAATCATTTTAAATGCAACTGGACCAGAGTATTTGAATATCAAAGGAAACTATTTAATTTGCGACACTCTTAGGTCAGATTACATTAATTTGTGTATTTATGTTTGATAGTCATTCTGTCAAAAAAAAAAAAAAAAAACTCACGATTTTCAACGTGGAATTTTTATATTATATTTCACATCGAAGCATGCGATATTCTATATTTATATTGTTGACTCGTAGTTTGATATTTAAATAAAAAACGATTAATCATCGATAAATCATACTTACATGATAGAAATTTACGAATGGCCATGAAAATAATATTTGTCGTATATAAATTTTGAAATTCTATCGCAAATTTAATTTATTCACGCCGTGGAGTAATAATACATTTAATTTTCTCCAGAAAAATTATTTTTCCTAGAGTAAATTGATTTACGAAGAGGATATGCCTGTACCTCGAGAATGACTCAATTCGTACATACGTATGTATCCCACGATATGTACAAGTTTATTTATTTAATTCTGAAATAATTTCAAAATGAACCATAACGTGAGAATCTCGTTTTACGAAGGAACGATGTTTACGTAACTGCAGAGGGTCATTACTTGCGAATTTAACGAATAATATTATTGACAGTAATCTATATAGTATTATTGCGTAACTCGAAGACGAACCAATGATTATAGAATACCGAACCACACGGATCGACCGCATCCTAGTTCACTAATTAATCAGAAATTTCCTACCAGCTACGTCGGCCTGGATGCACAGCTAATAGACCTCGGTATGAATTCGCCTTCCCAATTATCTCGTCGTGTACTAATTACCATTAATTACCAGCGGAAAGTTACACGTTTATCAGTTATAAATTTCACGTGAAAAACCTGTTATCGATATTTGTTTTTTTACTACTTCGGGAAATATTACTCAAATATTATCTGTATGTACTTTTCGTCGATGAACGCTCAAGTCGTACACCATGATTTAATGTCGCGATCAGTTTATGCCGAAATAACGCGGCTTTGCGCGCGGTTTTCACGTTTTGAAAAGAAAAAAAAAAAAAAAGGAAAGAAAAAAGAGGAAAGCAGAGGGAATATTTTGCCCGGATTTCGAGAAACAAAAAATCAGCTTCTACGCGGTGGGAATCGTAAATGAAAAAAATATTCAGCAAGAAATAATCGAATAACACGGTAGGTCGAATATTTTTCTTGTCGTTTTGCAACGGAATGTACGGTCTGATTCAATTTTCGCTACGGGTCAAAGCGTTGCCAGCCCAATTTGTGAAAAATAACGATGAAACGCCGTTTTCCCTCGTCTGGCCTCGCTTCTCGTTCACTTGTTCTTTCACAAAGCTCTAGAGTAATGGGGACGTGTCGTGATCTCGGGCAATTAATATCGTGTACGAGCAAGTCCGAATAAGAGACCGTGAAACATCATAAAGATCAACTATAAAAATTATCACCAGTATTAACTTAGTAGAAAGATCATATTAATTGAATGAAGAAACAAAATTTAAAAATCTCGTTTTTTTTGCGAAAATCGTAAAAAAAACGAAGCGAACTTACAATCGCTAGTCAATTCGTGGATATTAAATAATAAAATATTGCGTAGAAAAAATTTGAAAGTCGTTATAGTCGAACGATTGATCGTTAACGCGACCAACTATAGGATTCAACGAATCTTATCGGGCGAGATAAATGAGGTTAAAATCTCTC